ACTTTGTGAAGGAGGGTGAAGAAGATGACAAATTAGGGAGAGATTCGTATCTAATGAGTTATTTGCCATTAAAAACGAAGTATGAAAGCCAAATGACATATTTACCCACGATTTTGACGGCTGAAACGGAAGGAAGTAACGGAAGGATGGTAGCAGGACTAAAGGTGATGAAACCACCAAACTTGAGGGACCTTTGGATGGTATTTATTACATTAATATGTCCAAAATAAATAATTACAATCATGCTCCAGGACATAAATAATTACAATCATGCTCCAATGAGATTTTAACACTTGATGTTATCATTTTTTTTTTTTTTTTTTTTTTTTTGATTCTGGGGAGGGTGTTACCCAAAATGGCTGCAAACAGCCCACACGACTAACTCAAATATCCAGCTGGCGTCGATGGAACATCGCCCCCATTTGGTCCTGGAAGATAAGGTCGCGAACAACAGAAGGAGGATTCTCCAGAATCCGAGCGCCGATGGGAAAAGAAAGAGCCAGCGAAGCCAGCTTGTCTGCCACCCTGTTTTGCTCCCTATACACATGTCTGTAGTCGAGCTCCTCCAGATTCCCAGCTTAAAAAACACACCGCCGTAGCACATTGTTACGAAGACTGGTCTCACCCCGCATAGCATTGATCGTAGCCAGCGAGTCACTCTCAATCACCAACTTTCTTACGCCAAGATCATTAGCGAGTCTAATACCTTGCAAAACCGCCCATGCTTCCGCTTCCTCCACACCGCACCTTCCGATTTTGTGCGTGAAACCACCTTTCCATTTGCCCTCTGAGTCACGCAAGATTCCACCGCAACCTGCTTCGCCACTCTGTTTCAAATAGCCATCCACGTTCATCTTCATTCAATCTGCATGAGGCTTCCTCCACGCTACAATTGGTCTTGAGGTCTGCGTGTGGTTCTTCCCAGGTGCCCTGCATTTTGCGAAGGCACTTTGCACCTCATTATCATACTGTAAAAGGCAGGCTTTACGATGAGTTGGTGTAGTTGTAACATGGTTATACACTTCGTCATTCCGCCATTTCCAGAGCCACCACAGCTTGATGCCAAACCTCTGCGGCCAATCATTAGCGAAACCTTTTCTTGGATCTCCCCGAAGATTAGCTGACAGCCAATCCTTCCAGTTCAAAGTGTCCAAATCAGCCTATAGGCGTCTTGGCAGAGCTGCGTCCCAGGTCTCTCTTGCAACTGTACACCGCCTGAAAATGTGGTTAAGATCTTCGGTTTGCCCTGCACATCAAAAACAGAAAGTGTCAGAAGATAGCTTCCTTCGAGCGCGTTCCTCATTAGTGAGGATCCTCCCGTGTTTCACCAGCGAAATGAAGAAACAGATTCTTCCCGGCAGCCGAAGCTTCCAAATGGTGCTCCATTCAGGATCTGGAAGGGCAGCCCCACTGCCCACAACAGACTCATAGGCTGACTTCACCGTGAACCTCCCATTCGCATCCGGGCTCCAGCTAAGATCATCCTCCACATCGCCATCGACCAGCACCGCGCTCGCCATTCGTTCCTGTACGGCCTGCGGAAGGACGTGGGCAAACTTCTCCCACATCCACCCCCGACGATAGTCCCAGTATTCCCCCACTAAGGCGTAGAGTTCAGGTAAGCTTATCGGAGCGGTCATGTGTTCTCGTAGGGGCTCCGAAAGTAACCATACGTCCATCCAGAACCGGGCTGCTTTACCATTTCGAACCACACGGTGTATCCCATTCTCCAGGAATTCACCGGCTACCGTGATGCCCTTCCAAACATTTGACACCTTGCGAATCCCTGTGTCAAGACCCTGCGATGTTGCTGGCTTGGTATATTTCGTTGTCAAAATTTGCGCCCAAAAGCTGGATGCCTCCGTTTTGAGCCTCCAGCCTAGTTTGATCATGTAAGCCGTGTTAAGGGCATGGAGGTTGCGAAGTCCGAGGCCTCCCATGTCCTTTGCTGTGGTGACAGTTTGCCAATTGACAATGCTCATCTTTTTACCACCGTCACTCGTTGATCCCCATATAAACTTCCTGATCCTCTTTTCTATCTCTAAGCAAAGACTCTTCGGGAGAGATGTAGTCTGCATCGTGTAGACCGGTATGGCACTCAGAACTGCTTTAGCCAAAACAACTCTTCCTGCTGTGGATAGCATCTTTGTCTTCCATCCTTCAAGGCGTGACGAGATTCTGTCAAGGATACCTGCAAAAGTGATATACGTAACTCGGCCATGTAATGATGGCACACCTAGGTACCTCCCCAGGTCATTCGTTTCCAACTTTCCATCACTCCAAGCTTACTAGCGATCTCTGTGGCCAGCGTCGGGGCCGTGTTACGAGAGAAATGAATCTTGGACTTTTCCAGGCTGATTTTCTGCCCGGAAGCTTTGCAGAACCTGTCCAAACATGTTTGGATCACCCCGACCTGATCGATGGAGACTTCGGAGAAGAGCACCATGTTATCTGCAAAACAAAGATGAGAAAGAGTTGGTCCATGGCTAGCGAGTTTAATACCTTTCCAATGATTATTACCAACTTCAGCAACAATGAGGTGGCTGAGTCGTTCCATGCAAAGAACAAAAATAGCCGATGACATCGCATCTCCCTGCCAAATGCCCCTTCCCGGGGCGAACGGGCGTAGACACTCCCCATTCCAGGCAACGGACAAACTCGAAGTCTGGATGCATGTCATAATAGTGCGGGTCCATTCGGTGTTGAACCCGACTAACTCCAAGGTTTCCTGAATGAAGTCCCACGACAGCCGATCATAGGCTTTTTCTAGATCCAGTTTGATTGCCATCAATCCGGTCTTGCCTTGCTTTCTGCGCATCGTATGCATAACCTCCTGGTACACAATAATATTATCCGAAATCTGTCTACCCGGGACAAAAGAGCTTTGGAACGGCCCTACTAGTTGCGGCAGGATGTGCTTCAGACGGTTTGTGATAGTCTTCGTGATAATCTTGTAACTCACATTGCACAGGCTTATCGGCCTAAATTGTTTGATCATCTCTGGATTCGGGACCTTAGGAATAAATTGTTTGATAATGTGTCATTTACACCATAGGGAGTCGACCATATATAAAAGCCTCGTTGACCAGGTTGTACGTGTTGTCTCCAATTTCGTCCCACATCTGTTGATAGAAAGCCGGGGGAACCCGTCTGGTCCCGGGGCTTTGTAAGGCTTCATGTCCGAAATAGCAGCGCGCACCTCCTCTTTAGTCACTTGTCTATTAAAAATCCTCCACTGCAAGGTTTCCACTCTAGGGAATGATGCCTCCAGAAGTTGTGGCCCAGCTGCGTCGTCCTCTCTGGCAAAGAGAAGTGAGTAGTACCTTTGGATGTGTCGTTTTAACTCATTGTCATCCAAAATCCATTCTCCCTGGTCACTTCGAAGCCTGGTAACAATGTTCTTGGACTTCTTGACTGTAGCAGATGCATGGTAGAACGCAGTGTTTCTATCTCCGGAGCCTATCCACTCTTCCCGGGACCGTTGATACCAAAGCAGTTCCTCTTGGTACAGGACTTCTTCGAGATTCTCCCGGAGTTTCCTTTCAAGTTTGGCCAGTCCGCCATGATGAGAGACCGCAAGCCTGGACTGGATTCCTCCCAGTCTGTTAAGTAGGGATTTCTTACGCTTGAAGATGTTGCCAAACACACAAATGTTCCATTCAGTAAGCTCGCCCGTCAGCTCTTGCAAATTTTCCGTCACTCTTTTCCCATTATCCCAGTTCTGGTCCACCACCTTACGGAAATCTGGGTGCGTGAACCATGCTGCCTGAAATAAGAAAAGAGGAGATGTTAGTTGTTGCTTATATCCTTCAACTCGGATAAGGAGGGGAGCGTGATCCGAGGCGATCCGCAGAAGGTGCGAGACCCTTGCGTTAGGGAATCTAATCCTCCAGTCCGCATTGCACATTGCTCGGTCAAGGCGTGCCCCTTTCAACCGATCTCCAGCGCCGTCTTTGACCCAAGTCAGGTTCGGGCCGTCAAACCCCAAGTTTATCAGCCCCTCCTCATGAATCCAGTTCACAAAGTCAGAACTACGCTGCGTGGAGTAAGAGACATAGTTCAAAGTTTCTTCTTTGTGCACAACGGAGTTAAAGTCCCCAGCCACGAGCCTGGGCCCTGCTAAAGACCTACTCATCTGCCCCAGATCCCTCCAGAGACGGCGTCGCAGCTGGTGTGTTGGGCTGCCGTACACTGGCGCGAAAAACCACGGAGGGGTCCCCGTCTTTGTAATCTGCATAAGAATGAACTACGGGTGAGTGTAAATAATGGTAGCTTGCACTGGGTCCTTCCAAAAGACCCAAATGCCTCCGCTGAAGCCGAACGCTTCCACACGGATCCAATCCGAGAAACCCATTTTGGTGCAAATCCGGTTCGCCTAGATCCCGGACACCTTGGGCTCAAACAACCCCAGAACGCAAGGCTTATAGAGATTTAATAGGTTTTTAAGGGCGCGGTGGCATCGTTTGCCACTCGCCCCTTGGTAATTCCAAAGAAGGCAATCCATAAGAAAGAAAAAACGGGACAGGGAAAAACCGTAAGAGCGAAAAACAAAATAACACACACAAGGGACCAAACACAAGAGAGCAAACACATCAAAGGCCACCCGTGGCCACTGCAGTCGCTGGGATCTCATGGCTTCCCTCTAAATCCATAACCGCATCTCCCTCATCGTCGAAGCAGTCCGGAGGGTCGGCATGTTGTTCTTTAGTCTGCTGCCAAACTGGCGATGGTAGATCGCCGGCCCGCTCACTGGCTAGCACGCGAGCCGAATGAATAACTAATAACCCACCTTGTTTCCCCCGCACGACCACATGCTCTTCCTCTTCGGCTGCACGTCGGAGACTTGGTCCTCCGCCCCTTCGGTGTCTGTCCGATTTCTCGCCCGCTTCACTATGCGACCCTCCCCCTTCGTTTGGCTCGTTCGCAATTTGCTTCTCATGGGCTATGACATTTGGTATCCTAGAACTACCCCCTTGCGTGCTTGCCCCCTGTACCACTACCTACTGTTCCAGTCTGACTTCGTCATTGCCAGCCTCGTTATGTGCCTCGTCCAACGCCTCCTTGTCGCCGTCTAACTCCCCCTCTTCGTCATGTGCCATCAGTGGTGCAAATCTAGTAGCCTGAACATTTCCTTCATGGGTATTCACTCGCTGGCGGTCCTCCGTCGATCTCTGGGGTCTGGCCACCGCCCTTGGTCCGTTTCTCGGTTTTCTACCCGGCGCAATCATCCACCTTCCAAAAGGTGCCTCACCAACTGTGGTCTTGCTTGCCACCATTTCCTTCTCCTTGTCGTAAGCTTTAGGACCAGGCGCCGGTTTACTTGTCTTTGGACAGTTGTCGGGAGAGTGACCATAAATGCCACAGGTGAAGCAAACCATGTGAATACCCTCATAAGCCACTGAACGCACCTTGCCTTTGTAATTAAACTTAGAGATCAACGGCTTTGTGATATCCACTTCGACACAAATTCTAGCAAACATCCCCCGTGAAATCAAACTGGTGGCCTGATCCACCCGTATTGTTCTGCCAAGTTTGTTACCCAACTTTCTTAGGAAGATGATGCTGTAGTACTCCGCTGGTATGCACGGGATCCTCACCCAAACCAGCACCTTCTCCGTTGAGTCCGCGAACGGATCAAAGTTTGGAACCCACGGTTTCACGATCAGGTAGTGATCCATGACCATCCACGGTCCTTCGAACATGGCGAATTCCAGGTCCTCCACTGCCCCAAACCGCACCAGGAAGTAGTCGTTGTCAATGGCAATTAGATCAAGGCTACCTTTAGGCTTCCACATCAAGGCTAGACGACGCCGCAAATAGGCATACCCAACCTTCCTTCCCATCACTTTAATAATCAGTGTCTTCTGCCACGGTGCCCGGATCATCTCCACCTCCTCTTTGGACAAGCGTATCGTAGGGCACAGCGGATCATCCTCCTCGTCATAAGAAACGTCAGTCGGGATTTCCTCCTCAACCGCATCACCAGACTGCATGGACGTCGCCGAGAGACCAACGACACTGTCCGCATATGTTCTACATGACTACATGGGAACCTACGATACCAGAGGGCTGGTTAGTGGTAGACTAGGGGTCTGATCGCTAATTACCTGTGTGGCCGATGAAGATCGGCCATCTGCCATCTGATCCTCCGTTGTCTCTCTCACTATCTCCACCTCCGTTCGTGATTCGATCATCACCACTGCATTCTATGGTCGATCCAAGGGGTCACTGTTAACATGCTTGGGTTTCTTCGTACTCCTCACCAGGAGATCAAGATCTTCGATCGTGCGCTGTCTAGAGAGCGTTTCTAGCTCCATCTGGTTCACACTTGATGTTATCATGCTTGTAATTATTTATTTTTGACGTATTAATGTAATATATTAGTGGTAAAAATAATTAATTTTAAATATTTATAAAATAATATATGAGTTGGAATATAAATATCATGATGTTATAGTGATGATCTTAACGCCGCATAAGCTAAGTTAACGGTAATATTAACACAGTTACCTATTGTCCTTAATTGCACTACTTTTTAAAGTTCATGGATTAAATTGAACAAAATAAAGGTACAAAGACTAAAATTGAACAAAACACTATAGTACATGAACCTCATAGGTACTTTGACCTAAAAGTATGAGTATTTTTGTCTAAAAAATTGTATAGTACAACTCTTATAACATAATGTGTATATATATAAAAAAAATAATGAACAAATGGACATAACTATAGGGGATATCAACCTTTATTCACTCTTATTAGTTGTTTTTTTTTTTTTTAAATATAGTCTTTCAGATTGTGTTTTATACTATTTTTGTAGATTTTGTATATAAAATTCATATTCAAATCAACCTAGACCGACTGATACACTATCATTCAAAAACGTTTGGTCCATACGGGATGCGTTGGATTGATATCTGCGAGGTGGATTGAAATGGCAATTCTTAAATTGCATAGGACGGGGGTGTTTGATTATTGACTTATCAGCCAAAAAAAAAATTGATTTGACCAAGAATAGTTTATTGTCCGGTCAATAAACTTTTTTGAGTATTTGGTAAATGGCTGATTGGCGTTAGCTGATGGGCTCAATCAGCCAAAATGTAAAACGCTGGTTACTGCAACCTTTTTAAACGGCTGATGCGTAAAAGGCAAATTTATCCCTTAATTCCTAATCCTGCAGCCTTATTCCTTAATTCACTTTTCAATTCGCAGCTCAAAATTAGTGGCTTCACTTCAATTTATTAGGACTATATTATTTATATTAGACTAGGGCTATATTATTCATATTAGACTAGGACTATATTATTCATATTAGACTAGGACTATATTATTCGTGTTAGACTAGGCTTCTATATAGCATCTCTATATATTCGCTCCCTGTACTCTCAGACATTATTATTGAATACAACACAATTATATTCTCATCTGGTATCAGTTAGCTAGGTTTTTCCTTTCCAACATCCATGTCCCACCTCGCTTCGTAGCAATAGCCGATGGCATCGAACTAAGATACACAGTATGAGAAGCGGTCCAGTCAACGACGTGGCATTGATGATCCGTGTCAAATTTGTAAACGTTTTGGTCACACGTGAGCCAATTGTTTTTGGCGCTATGATGATCCTTGTCAAATTTGTAAACATTTTGGTCACACGGGAGCCATTTGTTTTTTGCGCTATGATGATCCTTGTCAAATTTGTAAATGTTTTAGTCACACGGGAGCCAACTATTTTCGATGTTATTCAGGGGTTCCGGGTTTTCAGGCTAATGTGGTCGTCTCTGGTGATAATGGTGATTCCAACGGTCCTCATCAGTGGTTCCCTCACTACAAATCATGCTACGCCTAATTCTTCTTTGATGACTCCTGCAACACGTTATGATGGCCCGAAGACTCTGCGAGTCGGCAGTGGTACAGGTTTTCCTATTGTTAATATTGGTTCCGCTTCGTTAGCTACTGATTCTAGGTCTTTTAAGTTACATGATGTTTTACATGTCCTTGGTCTCTCTTCTTCTCTATTGTCTGTCCAGCGTTTTGCAAAAGACAATAATGTTTTCTTTGAGTTTCACCCCCTGTGTTTCTATGTGAAGGACATTTTGACCAAGAAGGTTCTTTTTAAAGGACATGTGTCTGGGGGTCTCTACACATGGCATGCGTCCTCCTCAGCTCCTGCTGCGTTTGTTGCTGCGCGATCCTCTTACGTTTGGCACATGCGGTTGGGGCATCCTCATTCTCGAGTCTTACGTAAAATTTTAACGTCTTTGTCAATTGGTACATTTAATTCTAGTGATCTTCCCAATGTTAGTTCCTCTTGTCAATTGGGAAAATCCTCTCGTTTTCCTTTGACTCGTGTCGAAACTACTAGTACGCATCCTTTGGAATTAATTTATTCAGATATTTTGGGCCTGGCACCATTACTTTCTGCGTCTGGCTATAAATATTTTGTGTTGTTTGTGGATGATTACACTCTTTATATATGGTATTATCCCATGCGTGCTAAATCTGATTTGTATGCTATATTTGATAAGTTCCGGTCACTCGTTGAACGTTCTTTTTCTCTTAAGATTATTTTCTTTCAATCTGATTTAGGGGGAGAATATAAAAAGCTTGGTTCCACTCTTGCTTCGCTGGGTATTCGCCTCAGGCAATCCTGTGCGTATACTCACGAGCAAAATGGTCGAGTGAAACGCAGATATCGTCATGTTGTTGAGACAGGGTTGTCTTTAATGGCTCAAGCATCTGTCTCGTCTCGTTTTTGGGACTATGCTTTTGAAACTGCTGTGTATCTAATTAATAAAATGCCTACTCGTGTTCTATCTGATGAGTCCCCTCACTTCCGTTTACATCGATCTCCCTCGTCCTACTCTTACTTGCGAGTGTTTGGCTGTTTGTGTTTTCCTATCCTACGTCCTTATAATCGCAATAAACTCCAGTTCCGTTCATCTCCTTGTGCCTTTCTAGGCTATCCTCCGTCTTATCGTGGCTATCGTTGTTTGGACACTAACACTAACAAGGTTTTTATCTGTCGCCACGTGCGATTTGATGAGACTGTATATCCCTTTGTTTCTCCTATTGCCTCGCAGGTTGCTACACCGCGTTCCGAACCGTGGGCTACTGTACCAATTGTGACGGGCCAAGGAAGTGATGTCTCGACCACGGTTACTGATGGCGCTCGGCAGATTCACGAGCCTGTGGCGGCTTCTGGCGGTGATGCCGGTCACGATCACGAGCAATCCGCATCGAGTGAGCGGACTGTCTCAGACCAGCAGTGTGACACCCCAAAAATCCAAGTTCAATCCATGGATTAATTGAGTAATTAATCCTATTTCAATTGAGGAATTAATTCCTAAAATCCTAATTTTTAATACTTGAGGACTAGTATTTGACTAGTCAATTTCAAAGTCATGTTGTACCTTGAGCTTTGGAGGGTGTTCCCTTGTTCCTTACACTTTCTAAATGTTAGTAAGGGCATTCTTGACCTTTCACCAAGTGTTAGTATTGTAACCTAACCTAGAAGACATCTTCACTTCACCCCTTACACTTTCTAAAACATTAGCTCTACCTTCTCTCTAGAAAGGTGAGTAGATTTTCCTCCAAGCTAAGTTTAGACCTTGCCAAGACTTCAAGATTTGCTTCCAAGATTCAACCTTTCACCTATTTGGGCATCTAGGAGGGTAAGATCTAAGTCCATCTTGTGTTATTGGTTCCATCTTAGATGTCTTTTTCTTAAAGGTAGGATCTTTATGATCTTTTGGTTTGCTCTTGAAGTGGGATTGGAAAGTGAGCCTTGTGAGGAGCTTGTTGAGGTGTAAAGTGAAGTCTTTTAGTCTACAAGAGGTAACTCATGCTCTACAAAACCTATTTTGCTTACCTATATGTGATTTCTTGGGTTCTACTTGTGTTTTGCTATGAAATGTGAGTGTTTATGCATTTGTCTTGTGAAAATGCATATCTAGAGCTTATGTTTAGGATTCTTTTGTGCCATTGCTTGGCATTTCCTATGATTCAAGTCATTTTGTTGTATTGGGTGAGATTTGGCATGTTTTGGACTTGAATTTGAGTTTGGAGTTGAAAATCCCCGAAGGGATTATTTTGGACACAGGGATGTACCCGCGGGCGGAACGACGGGCAGAGCCCTACTCGCCGCCCACCCGCAGGTACATTGGCCTCGTGGGTGTGTACCCGCAGGCGGAACCACGGGTAGGGGCCTACCCGTGGGTCTACCCGCGGGGAACACAATGGTGTTGTGATGGGATTTGTTCCCCGTGATTCTTTTGACTCGGTATTTGGTCCTTTGACTTCCCGTTGTTCTTTTGTGGAACTATTTGAGTGTCTTCTTGATGTTTCGTATGTCTAGAACTATATGGTAGGTATCCATGTAGGACTTTGGTGTCTTGAATCGTGCTAAGTGTTCAACATTGTGTTTCGTTGAACCGTGAAGTGTCTTGTGTGTTCTTCGGAACTATCTTTGGTTTCCCCGTTGGTAAGCATGCTAGTTTGATGTCTAAATGCTAGCATGTGTGTGTTGTTTGTACCTTCCGATTGGTTGATGATAACTTGTGTTATTCATCGTTGTTGTTGTTGGGTTGTGACCCATTCCTTGATTGAGTATGTTTCATACCTTCGTTGCAATCCGTTGATTGATTCCTGTTGAGGTGTGGTGTGTGTGGCTTTACCTGGATTGCACGATTAGTGGTATGGGACACTAGTCACCAAGGTATTGCAGCGGTCCTCGTGGTGGCCGTGGCGGATTATGGAGTTGTGGCCTTTGTGTAAGGTTCACGTGTTTATGGGGGATAACATGTGTTATCCGGGCATGTGTTGCCATGTGTGTACGGTACCTTGTGTACTATGAATTGGTGGCTTTGTTGGTGGGGGACGACGGTCCTAGGAGGAAGAAGGTTGGACTAAGAAGTACGGGGGTCCTGGAGGTAATGGTTGGAATGAAGATACAAGGTTGGGGGTAGCCATAAGGTTGGAACAGGGCATAAGGCAGGC